TTTTGGGGAACCATTTAAGGACTTACTACATATACCATTGTCTTTCATCCCTAAATACCTCACTGCATATTTCTAAAATTAGGAATACTGTCTTCTATAATCATAGTTACCAAATTCATACATTTATTTTGATACAATATCTCATCTAATATACCATCCATGTTCCCACTCATGTCAGCTGATCCAATAATGTCCTTTTTACTGTAGTTTCTTCCATCCAGTACAGGATACAGTCTAGGATGAGATATTACATTTAGCTATCAGGTCTCTTTAGTTTCCTTTAATCTGGAACATTTTCCACAGCCATTCTTATTTTTAAAGAATACAGTCCCATTCCTACTTTTTTACTACAATGTCTTCATTTTGTGTCTCATGTTTCCTTATAATTAGAATACTGCTTAAGTGATGCTGTGTCCTCCTCTGGGTATCACATCTCAAAGCACCTAATGCCCATCTGTCTCTCAGGAGCACCCAGTTTAGGTATTACCTGATTTCTCCAGTGTATAATTACTGTTTCTCCTTTTAAAACTAATATGCAGTCTGTGGGGATATACTTTAAGACTATGCAAATATCCTGCTCATGAAAATATTGCCGTCAACTTGGTATCCATCAATGATTGGTGCTCAGTCTTCTCTTATCTGATCCTACCATGACAGCTGCAAAATGATGACTTTCCAACTCTAGCATTCCTTCTACCATTCAGTCTTCAACATTCTACTGAGCAAGGGACCTCCCTTCTCCCACATGTATTTGTATATTTATAATGAATGTAGGTTTATGATTTTTTAATGATTTCCTTATTATATCCTTAATATAATTCCATATTAAAAGTACTAATAATTCATTACTATAAGTGGTAATAATTACTTATTTTGATGCCCAAATTGTTCCAGATTTGGCCAGTGGAAGCTGCTTCATTAATTTGGCTCCTGTGCTGTGACCTGCCCCAGGATTCTTTTGAACATTTTCCTACTTTCTATCATAATAACTTGTTTAACCCCAGAGTCAGCCCCAAGGAACCCTAGTTTCTCTTAGTGAGAAATAATAACACCAAGGGAAAAGATCTGGGTGCTACGTGTGCTCCCTGTGACTGGGGTGTCTTTGCTTCTTGGCCATTTCAGTGGACAAAGTTAGGAAATGTATGCATATATAGACACACTATGCTTCACAGATAATGCAAATTATTATTTTTTGCAAGGTTGTGGTAACCCTGTGTTGAACAAGTCTATTGGCATCATTTTTCCAACAGCATGTGCTTACTTTGTGTCTCTGTGCCAGCATTTTTTAGCAATAAAGTATTTTTTAAGTATATACCTTTTTAGACATAATGCTATTGCACACTTAATAGACTACAGAATAGTGTAAATACAACTTTTATATGCACTGAGAAACCAAAAAATTTGTATGACTTACTTATTGTGGTACTCTGTTGCAATGGTCTGGAACCAATTCTAAAGTACGCCTATGTATTCACCTACATATACACATAGTACCTATACACACACATTTTAGAAGTTCTGAGTTCACAATGGTACTCACAATTCCAGCCCTCCGCATTCCTTTTTGCCTGTGTTTTTAATGAGTATCCCAAGTGATTGTTCTAACCAGGGATGCTTGGGAAACACTGCTAAAGTCTACTGATCAATCTCAGTGCTTTCCAGACAAACAAATCCAAGGGGCTGTGTGTTCTCTTTGCATCTCATTTGTCCTAGCCATGGGTTCCCTCTTCTTATTGAATATCTGTTATATTCAACTGCATTTGAGGATAATTATCTTTACAGATATAAGAGCAAAACAGAAAGTGACTCCTTTCTGATTCATCAATGCCCAGAGCTTTGAGTTATGCTCTTAGGGATACACCGACCATACATGAGAAAGAGAGAGAGTGTGTGTATGTGTGCACGTGTACATGCGCATGTATGGTAACATGCTCTCCACCATCCTCCCCCCTCCACTGGTTTCATTTGCAATTTTATATTCTGTGCTATACAACTCTAGAAGAAAATCATAGACATGCCTAAAACTTAGTTAAGTGTAATTCATTATTTTTTTATGTTCTATTGTCCTTCCTCACAAAAATTCCGGTTCCACTTCCTCCATTTCTAGTTATTATCAGAACAATCTACCAGTTGCCTAAGCTAGAAATACTAAGACATCTTTGTCTTTTTCCTTACTGTATCACTCATAACAAATCATTTTAAGACCTTTTAATTTGACCTCATACTTATATTTTGAATCCATTCCTTCCCTTTATTCTTTGAGACAGAGTCTTGCTCTGTTGCCTGGGCTAGAGTGCCATGGCTTCAGCCTAGCTCACAGCAACCTCAAACTCCTGGGCTAAAGCAATCCTTCTGCCTCAACCTCCTGAGTAGCTGGGACTACAGGCATGCACCACCATGCCTGGCTAATTTTTTCTATGTATTTTAGTTGTCCAGCTAATTTCTTTCTATTTTTAGTAGAGACGGGGTCTCACTCTTGCTCAGGCTGATCTTGAACTCCTGACCTCGAACGATCCTCCTGCCTCGGCCTCCCAGAGTGCTAGCATTACAGGTGTGAGCCATTAGGCCCGGCCTCGTTATTCTATAGACACTATTTTGGGTTAGACTATTATCATCTCTTGCTGGAATCTATGAAGATAGAAGTGGGGTGCGTGATAGAACTATTTTTTCCTATTTCCCTCCTCTTAAGAAAATTGAAAATATTTGGGAGGAACACTATCTGCCTTTGCTAAATCCAAGTCAATTTATTAGTTTATAAAAATGAAAATGTGTCAAAAAGTGCTCAGAAAATATTTAGCAAATTAAACTTAAAAGTTAATTTAATACACACAAAAACAATAAACTTGCTAACTTTGAAATGCTTTACATATTTATTATAAAGATAGCTGTAGGTTACTGAACCTCAAGAAATCTATGATCTCTACTTAGAAAGCATATATATTAAACCCTATTGCTAGGCTCTATTCCATATTTAGTTTTTCAAAGCTTAGTAATATTTTTAGATTAAAAAAAATTGATGAAAGAAAGCTCCCACAGAAAACATCAAACCCTTCCTTATGAAAACAGAAGTGTCTCAGGCAGCAATGCACCTGCTTCATCATTGGAGAATTTTACTCAGGATTTGGAAACTAAAATGATTTGATATTAGGGCACCTGTAATAATAGTTAATGATTGTTGACTGCTATGTGCCACATGTTAATATGAACATTATCTCAACTCATCTTTCAAGAACCCTATGAAGTAGCTATTGTCAGAATATCCACTTTGCAGATGGAGAAACCATATAAAACTTAAGTGTTACAGTGGGATTAAAACTGGACTGTCACTAAAGCCCATATACAATTTGTAAAAAATGACTTCAGAATGATTTTTAGAAAAAAAATGGAGGCCATATATGATTAAGGAAAAAATATAAAAATATAATTTATTTAAATATTATAACAATAAGCCTAAACACTTTTTTTTCCAGGGGGAAAATAATTTCAAAAATTTCCATGGACTTCTGTTCCGTCATTTCACAAATGCATGCTTATGGACTGTAATATTTTAAACTTTCCGGAAGGCAGGGACTCATATCCTTGTACAGTACCTTATACCTAGTAAGTTCTCAATAAACAAATTTTCAATAAACATGTAGATGATCTCCTTAGTTCAAAACACCTTTAACCAGCTGATTCAGGATACACATCAAATCTTACCTGGCATTCCTGATAAAGAAATTTTACCAAAGCAACTGATTTTACTTTCAAATACCTGTACTGATTCTCCCTGTTCCCCTACTAAGAAGGGGGTAACAGCTTACAGCAAACTGACCCCATGTTAGCCAGTGTTTGGTGCTCACTAAATGTTACTGATTAAATTAAAATCCCAGGAAAGTAAAAATAATCAGCCAATAAATAAAAGACAGACTGATTATACCATGAGCACAAAAGAAAGGAGTGGTAAACAGTCTATCAGTTGGGTTCAAATCCTGGCTCTGCCACTTTGGGTGGGATACTTTGGGCAGGTCCCTTAATCTCTCTGCATCAGTTTCCTCCTGAGGAAACTGAGGAAATGAGGATACTAATGAGGATACTTCAAATGAGGACACTAATCGTATCTACTTCACAGGGTTTTTATAAAGATTAAACAAGTTAATACACGTTAGGCAATTAACAAATGTTAGTTATTCCTATGAAACAGAATTTCTTTCCCTCTTACCAATAAAGTGACAAAATGCATTTGGTGGAGATTCTCTCATTCCACGGAATAAATCTTCACCTCTCACCCCTTCAGTGTTATTTTTGTGATGCATCAGTAACACTACCATTTGAGAACTATATGAATCCATTACAGAAGTCAGGCAGTAAAAATAAGTATACTATATACAAAAAATGTAAAGGAAATTTTGTGTCTAAAACTTGTTTGTGAAGGCAACAATCACAGGTGTAATTAATCAGATTTATGAAAACTGATGTTTCTTAAAGAGCTATTTTCTAACCAATCCTCCCATCCCTGAGACCCATCCATTTTATTAAGGGTTCTACCATCTAGGTTGAAGACTATCAAATTCACTATTAAATACAGGCTATTTACAGATTAATGAATTCTCATTTGCTTTTATTTTATTGAGATAAAATAGGGTCTTGCTGTTACCCTAGGCTGGAGTACAGTGGCAAGATCATAGCTCACTGCAGCCTCAAACTTCTGGGCTCAAGATCCTCCTGCCTTAGCCTCTTGAGTAGCTAGAGCTAGAGGTGCATGCCACCATGCCCAGCTAATTTTTTTAAAAATTTATTTTGTAGAGACAGGGTCTCACTATGTTGCCCAGGATGGCCTTGAACTGGCCTCAAGTGATCCTCCTGTCTTGGCCTCCCAAAGTGCTTGGATACAGGGTGAGTTACCACGCCTGGCTCTCATTTGCTTTTTAAAAAAGAGCATAAAATGTTAAAATTCAGGACATTTATATTGTATCACTCTAAAAAATACCCAACAGCAATAAAATAATCATGACACTTACTTCATCTCTATAAAGTGGGCTAGTATAATACATTATGTCCATTGCACTGCTGTTCAACATATCCCTTAAACCTCGTACTTTGTCAGGAGTAATGGAATCAACAGTGTCTACAAAACAAAAAAAGCAAAACAACAACAACAAAATTAAAATCATAATAAAAGATCTGTTTTAGGGAAAAAGTAAATGTGAAAAAAATTACATTGCTTGAAATAATAGCTCTTTAGGTTAACATTTAAATATTCAAGACCAGGTTTGGCTCTTATGGTACTTCCCTTCTTGCAAAATATTGCAAGAAAAAAACAGTACAAAAGGGGACATGAAAAGAAAAGGAAGAAGGCCATTATCAAATGCATAAAGCCTCATCCATCCTTTTTTATATGTACTGGCTTTTGTACGACATTCAGGGGTACCCAGAACAAAACTAGGCCATATACTGGAACAAGTTATCAAAGGACACAATCCAACTTTTTCTGTACCTCCTTTTCGGTTTCCTTTCAATTCTCTCTCTCTCTCTCTCTCTCTCTCTCTCTCTCTCTCTCTCAAATCTATGAAGCTTGGGCTTGGCAATACCCACGTGGAATGCCTAGAGCCACTGGTGGCAAATCAGCAACAATAACAAAAAAGTTCCCCACATTTCACATGTATGTATCTGCAGTGCACTAAGATTCTACAGGTAAGAACTGTCAATCACAAATATACACAAAGGTGTATAAATTAGCAACGGGCCTCATCACTAAACAAGATAAAGTTGCTGTAATTTACTACACTGACATAAAGCTTACATAAATTGTGTTACAAACCAGTACAGTCTTTGATGAGTCGCACCTAACCTATGGAATGTCTACCTTGGAAAGATTATTCTATTTATTTATTTTTGAGACAGAGTCTCACTCTATTGCCTGGGCTAGAGTACCCTGGCATCAGCCTAGCTCACAGCAACCTCAAACCCCTGGGCTCGAGCAATCCTTCTGCCTCAGCCTCCCAAGTAGCTGGGACTACAGGAGCAGGCCACCATGCCCGGCTACTTTTTCTATATATTTTTAGTTGGCCAATTAATTTCTTTCTATTTTTAGTAGAGACAGGGTCTCGCTCTTGCTCAGGTTGGTTTTGAACTCCTGATCTTGAGTGATCCTCCTGCCTCATCCTCCCAGAGAGCTAGGATTATAGGTGTGAGCCACCACGCCCTGCTGGTTATTCTAGTTAGATACTGAATAACATCATTAGAGGGGCAAAAAATTTTTCATTTCTTATAGAAGTATAAAGAAGTACTATACTTGGATGAATATTATTATTTTAAAGAACAAGGTGGCATAGAAAAAGCTTATGATTTTAGTTAAGTACAATTTCTATTACCCTCTAGTTTTTCACTGCATTGTCTCTAGGTTATTTTATTTTTACTTCTTTCTTACTTTAATACAATGTAGTAATAACTGGAAGGCAATGACAAGCAAAGGCTAAAAGTCTTTTCAAAGATATAAAGGGAAATATTTTGGCTTTTCATGGATGCACAATATATTTATACCCTGTGCCTATTTTTAAATTGTAAAAGTGAAAGGTGTGACTTACATGTCAATTTAATACATTCTGAAAAAAATTTTTTACTGTGAAATACATGCACATACAGAAGAGGGTATAAATATATATAGGCAGTTGAAAAATAACTTATAAAAAGAAAAACATGTTCCTACTAGTGTAATAATACTGCCAGTATCTTATTACCCTAAATAATCAGAGACCTATTCCTCTCCAACAATGAGTAACCAACAATGAGCATTTTATTAATCATGCTTTCCTTTTCTTTATTGATTTTACTATGTGTTCAATAATATTAATAATCGTAGTCAATTACTTCTACAGCATTTACTATGTGCCAAAGCCAAAATATTTTATTTCATTTTGCCTGATTCTGAACATTGTGTAAATTGAGGTATTGTCTATGGTTCACACCCCCCTCCAAATATGCTTCTGAGATTGTTGAAGCACATAGCTCTAATTCACTCATTTTCACTCCTATATAGTGGTTTCCTCTATACATATAATTTATCCATTCTCCTTTGAGAGACATTGGGTTGTTTTTAGTTTTTTGCTATTATAAACTATGATCCTGACATTGTTTTACATGTCTCCTTGAGGCACATGTGTAAGAATTTCTTTAGAGTATATATGTAGGAGTACAATTGCTGTCATAGGGCACATACACATTCAACTTTACAAGATTATGTCAAATCATCTTCCAAAGTGATTGTACCAATTTACATCCCACCAACAGTGAATAAAAATCCTCGCTGCTATATACTCTCAACACTTGGTATTGTTACTTTCTTAATTATTTACCTGAAGGGTGTGAATGATATTTCATTGCAGTTTTAATTTATATCTCCTTGATTACTAGGGTGATGTATATTTCATATATATGTATATATATACTTACACCTGTATTTTTCCCCTTTTCTTTTCCATTTAAAGTTCCTGCTCTTTTATCCTGGATATTAAAGCTTTGGTGGTTATACCTGATGATCTGTTATAACATCTTTTCCCAGTGTGTGGCTTATCTTTTATTCTTTATGGTTTATGCTCTATTGATAAATAGAAGTTCTTAATTTTAATCTACTCAAATTTATCCATGTTACTTTAGAATTATGTTTTTGTGTATTAAAAATTCCTTCCTTACCTTCATAAAGATAAGATACTCGTATTTTTTTCTAAAATTTTTAAAGTTCTTGGCTTTCATATACATATTATGCCTTTGATTCATTTGAAATGTGAAATAGGGATCATTTTTCACTCCCCCTGCCTCAGGATAACCAGTTTACCAAACCCCATTTAGGGAATAGGCCATCCTTTCAGCAATGATCTGTAATGCCAGCTCTGACATATACCAGATTTCCAAATTAAGCACAGGTCTGTTAAGGGAGTCTTTAATCTAGTGCACGAATCTATTTGGCGATCCTTGTGCTAACACCAGTAAACAGTCTTAATTATAAAAGTTAAATAGAGTAATAAGTCTAGCTATCTAGTAGGACAGGATACCCTCCTCCATTCTCTTGTTCTGTGTCTTGGCTATTTTTGTCCTTTTATAATCGTTTTAGAATCAGCTTGTCAAGTTTCATGAAAAATTATGAGATTTAGATTGGAACTGCAAAGAATCTATAGATCAATTTGGTTCCATGAGGTGGGAAGTGTGAAAAAAATATATAAAAATATAGATCAGTTTGGGAGAATCAACATTTCTGGGATAATGAATGATCCAATCTAAGAAAATTATCTATCTTTGTGTTTAAGTTGTATTTATTATCTTAATAGTTTTAACTTAATATTAATATAAATATACATCTTTTGTTAGATTTCTTAGAACCGTGTATTTTTGATACGATTTCTGCTTGTTGCTGGTTTACAAAAATGCAATTATTTTATATATGGACCATCTATTTTACAGCCTTGATAAACTATCTTTTTTTTTTTTTTTTTTTGAGACAGAGTCACTCTCTGTTGCCTGGGCTGGGCTAGAGTACCATGCCATCAGTCTAGCTCACAGCAACCTCAGACTCCTGGGCTCAAGCTATCTTCCTGCCTCAGCCTCCCGGGTAGCTAGAACTACAGGCATCTGCCACCATGCCCGGCTAATATTTTTTCGTATGTTTTTGTTAGTTCTTTGGCTAATTTCTTTCTATTTATAGTAGAGATAGGGACTCGTTCTTGCTCAGATGGTGTTGAACTCCTGAGCTCAAGCAATCCTCCTGCCTTGGCCTCCAAGAGAGCTAGGATTACAGGCATGAGCCACTGCACCTGGCCTGATAAACTATCTTAAAATTCTAATAATTTTTCTGTATATTCTGAGTATACAACCATATGACCTGCAAATCAAAACAGACGTTTGACTCCTCGTAACTATTACTGCTTTTTCTTATCTTATTATACTGCTCAGACTTCAAGTAGAATGTTTAAATTATAAGAGTGAAAATCCTTAGCTAATTCCTGACTTAAAGAAAATGTTTTTAGCCTTTCACTACCAATAAGCACAATAATGTTCACTGTGGGTAGATACCCTTTTATTATTATTTTTAAATTTATACACAGTAAAATTGACTGTGAGTTTTACATAACCACCACCATGATCAGGACGCAGAACTGTTCCATCACCCTAAAAAACTTCCACATACTGCTCCAATGAATTCAAACTCTCCTCCTCCCCTCAACCCTGGCAACTAATGATTTGTTCTCTGTCCTTGAAGTTTTGTCTTTTCCAGAATGTCATATAAATGAAAGCATGAAGTATGTAGTCTTGCAAGACTGTCTTTGAAAACTCATCATAATGCTTTTGAAACTACCATAGTTTAAAGCTTAACAAAAATTACAAACTCAGGGGTTTAGTAAGGCTAATTCATCCATGTTGTGTACATCCTGAATAGCCTAAGAAATTTATCTGCATGAATGGGAAAAGCCCAAAGAATAGTATTGTTATTACACTAGAACACTGTGGTCACATTTTTTTTTAACTCATCACTATTTTTGATGGCATTTTGGTTTGATAAGCTATACCTGACATTCCTAACTGTCCATGAGACAGAATTATAAACCTGGAAGAATCCTTAGAAATCATCCAGGGAGGCAGGTTAGCACTGTGATGAACATGGACTCTGACTGGCATCATATACACCTGGATTCTGCCTGACATTCTTAAATTTACTTTTTACTGAGTTTCAGTTTCTTAATCAGTAAAAATGGAGAAAATAAAGTAGATATTTCATAGATTTTTGAGAAAATTAAATGAGATACTCCATATAAAATGCACAGCACAGTGCCAGACACATAGTGAAGGCTCCATGAAGGCAACTGCTTAATTATGTCTGATATAATTCTCTCAATTTCTAGATTATATAAATAATTAACCTAAACATTCTATTGTAGTGGCTTTAATATTTAGAGGACACAACTTTATGTAAAGAAAGATACATGTTTTGGCTGATAACAGCTCTTTAAGGAAAAAAATCTAAAATGGTTTTATTTAAATAAATGTATAAATTCTCTGTGTTAGATTATAATTCACTGGCCCAGGGAATGCATGAATAATAGCAATGAAAACAAACAAAAAACAAAACAACACTGAGAATTTTATCTTCCAAGTATACGGGAGGAAAAGTATTAGGTAGAAAATGTAAGCTCATATGGAATTATAGACAACAAATGATTTAAAAGTACTGACAAATCACATTAGTGTTAAAAACTTTAGAAAACATTTTATTCCCTCTACATTGCACCTTCGCTCCCAATCCAGAGAGGACATGCATGAAAACAGTGCTATCTATGAAATTTATTATATATGGTGGTCCAAATAATATAATTATTTTACAAGTCAATGGATTTATAAACAGAACAGAGAGAGAGTAACTAAACTGAAGATACTTTGTTCCCAATGAGCAAAAAGTGTTTTCTAAAATTTTCTATTATATATTTGGTAAAAGTTTGCCATTGGATAAACTATTCAATTTTTAAACAAAACATACCTCCATCAAGAGCAAGCTTTGACCGCCATTCAACAGGGAGAAATTCAACATGTGTTGCATGGTTAGAAAAATGCCTTTCTTCTATTTTTCTTGCAGCCTCTCTCATCCTAAAATAAATAAATAAATAAGCAAATAAAACTTTATGAGAATAACTTCACGTATTTATATAAAACATCTTTTATCATAACACTTCCATTTGCTTATGACTTCATCCATTTATACAGGGTGTACCCAAAGTTGCCATACATAGGGAAAATAGGAAATTATAGCTAAATGTACCTTTATTTACAAAATATTCATTACAAAATTTTTGCTACAATCCTGCCAGCAACATGTAAGGGTTCCAATTTTTCCACATCATTGCTAACACTGGTTAATTTCCCTTTTTTTTGATGAGAGTCATCCTCTTTGCTGTTCTGAATTGCATCTCTCTAATAACTAATGATGCTGAGCATCTTTTCATATGCATACTGATTATTTGTATATGCTATTTGATGAATGTCTACTCAACTCCTTTACCCATTTTAAAAATTGGGTTATTTCTTTTTCTCAACTTTTGAGTTATAAGAGTACTTTATATATCCTAGACTTAACAGATATATGATTTGCAAATTTTCTTCCATGCTGAATGAAGATTGTCTTCATTCTTCGTAGTGGCCTCTGAAGAACAAAAGTTTTCAAATTTTGACAAAATCTAATTTATCTATTTTTTTCTTTTATGGCTTCTACTTTTGATATCTTATCTCCAAAACCATTGTCTAATCCAAGGTCATGAAGATTTACTCCTATATTTTCTTTTAAGAGTTTTATAGTTTTAGGTCTTACATTTAGGTCTTTGAATCATTTTGAATTAATGAATTAATTCATTAATTTTTGTATACAGTATGAGATGGAGGTTCAACTTCATTCTTTTGCATGTGCATATCCAGTCGTTCCAGCTCAATTTGTTGAAAAGACCATTCTTTCCACAATGAATTGCCTTGGCATTGCTGTCAAAGATCAACTGAACTCTAATTCTATCCCATTGACCTATGTCTATTCCTATGCCAGCCAGGACCACAATGTCTTGATTACTAGAGTTTTGTAGCAAGTTACAAAATCAGGAAGTGTGAGTCCTTCACATTTTTATTCTTTTACAAGATTGTTTTGGCTATTCTGGGTCCCTTCTATTTCCATGTAAATTTTAGGATCAGCCTATCCATTTCTCCAAAAAAGACAGGTGAGATTTTTTTAGGGGGCACAGGTAATATTTTAATAGGGATTGTGCTCAATGTGTACATCAATTTGGGAAATGTTGCCACATTAACAACATTCAGTTTCCTAACCCACAAACACAGGATGTCTCTTCAATTTATTTAGGTCTTCAATTTCTTTCAGTGGTGTACTATATTTTTCAGAGTACAAATCTGGCTCTTCTTTTGTTAAACTTATTCCTAAGTCTTTTATTATTTTGATGCTAAAGTAAAATAAATAGCTTTCTTAATTTCATTTTCAGATTGTTCATTGCTAGTATATAAATACAACTGATTTTTGTATATTAACTTTGTAAACTGCAACTTTGCTGAGTTCATTTATTAGCCTGCATTTTTTTTTGTGTGTGTGTTCCCCGGATCTTTTATATATAATGTTATCTGCAAACAGAGATAGTTTACTCTTCTTTTCTAATCTGGATGCCTATTGTTTCTTTTTCTTGCTTAATTGTTCTGGCTGATATGTATAGTATAATGCTGAATAGAAGTAGGACGGGAAACCATTAAAGTATAATTTTAGCCATGGACTTTTTGTAGCTGTCTTTTACCAAGTTGAGAAAGTTCCCTTCTGTTTCCAATTTCCTAAGTGTTTTTATTATGAAAGCGTGTTGGATTTTGTCAAATGCCATTTCTGCATCCAAAAACCCCGTGATGTGTTTTTTTCCCCTTTCATTCTACTTGTGTGGTGTATAACCTTGATTGATTTTTTTAAATGTTGAACCAACCTTGCATTCCTGGAATGTATCCCACTTAATCATCACGTATGACCACCCCTTTATAAATGTTGCTGGATTCAGTTTGGTATTTTGTTGGGAATTTTTGTGGTCTGTATTCACAAGGGATATTGGTCTATAGTTTTCTTTTCCTTAAATGCTTTTATCTGTTTTGGGGATAAGGGTATAAGAGACTCATAGAGTGAGTTGGAAAATCTTCCTCTTCTATTTTTTGGAATTTGTGAAGAATTGGTGCTAATTCTTCCACTTTTTCCGTTTTTGTAAGAGATGGTCTATGTTGCCTACACTAGGGTACAGTGGCTGTCCACAGGTGCAATAATTGCACATGACAGCCTCAAACTGCTGAGCTCAAGTAATCTTCCTGCCTTAATCTCCTGAGTGGTTGGGACTACGTGCATGCCACTGCTCCTGGATTAATTCTTTTAATGTTTGGTAGAATTCACCAGTGAAGATTCTGGTCTGGGCTTTTGTTTTTTGTTTTGGTGGGAAGTTTTTTTTTTTTTTATTTTTTATTTTTTAATTTGAGACAGGGTTTCACTCTGTCATCCAGGTTAGAGTGTATTGGTGTCATCATTAGCTCACGGCAACTTCCAACTCCTGGGCTCAAGTGATCTTCTTGCCTCAGCCTCCTGAGTAGCTGGGACTAAAGGCATGTACCACAACACCTGGATAATGTTAACATTTTTTTGTGTATGGGGTGGGGGTGGGGGTCTTGCTATGTTGCTCAGGTTGGTCTCAAACTCCTGGCCTCAAATGATCCTCCTGCCTTGGCCTCCCAAAGTCCTACGGTTACAGGCATGAGCCATTGGGCCTAGCCTGGTAGGAAGTTTTTTGATTATTAATTCAAATGCTTTACTTGTTACAGGTTTATTCAGATATTCTATTTCTTCTTACTCATTACCCAACCAAGTTTTGGTAGTTTGTGTCTTTCTGGGAAACTGATTACTGAAACAGTTTCTATAGTTTATGTCTTTCTAGGGCAGGTGTCCTTAAACTGTGGCCCACGGGCCACACGCGGCCTGCCGAGGACATTTGTCCAGCCCACTGGGTGTTTTTGCCGCCGCTGCCTGTCCTGCTTAGCAGCCGACTGGTCCCGGGCCCACAGTGCGCATGTGTGGAATGTGCACCACACTCTCCAACAGCCCTCCAACGGTCTGGGGGATAGTGAACTGGCCTCCTGTTTAAAAAGTTTGAGGACCCCTGTTCCAGGTATTTATCCATTTTAACTAGGTTATATAGTTTGTTGGCATAGAATAATGCACAGTATTTCCTTATAATCCTTTTTATTTCTATAAGACTGGTAATGTCCCCTCTTTTATTCTTAATTTTAGTAATTTGAGTCTTCTTTTTTTCCTTTGGTCAGTAAAAGGGTTCTTAATTTTGTGGATCTTTTCAAAGAATAAGAGGAATATGTAGAGATCTTTCTCATTTTATTTTACAATCGCATACTACTCCATCATATAATAGCTGTAGTTTATCAACCAGTCTCTTACTGGTGAACATTTAGGTATTTAATAACTTCCTATACAAGTAATGATGCAACAAATAGCCTTGTGAATGTCTCTTTTTGTAATTTTTGCTGATATTATCTTTGGGATAGAGTCCTAGAAGTAGGCTTGCTGGGTTAAAGGATAAACACATATGTAATTTTGATATATTGCCACATTGCCTTCTTCACTGCATTCCACTAGTGCTTTGAGAATATCTATTACCTATACCCTAGCCAAAAGAGTTTGTTGTCAAATTCTGGACTTTTGGTAATCTAATAGTCTAGAAATGACATTTTAGTTAAGTTTACATTTCATGAGCAAAGGTTAAGCACCTTTTTATATGCTTAAAAGCCATTTGCATTTCCGTTTTTGGGAACTGGCTGTTCATATGTTTATCCCATTTTTCTAAAAGGTGGTTGGACATATTTTTAGAACATTTTAATGTATTAGGGATCCTTTGTCTGTGATATAAGTTGCAAATGTTTTCTCAGTTTGCCTTATTTATTTTTGCCATATGGTTTTTTGGATGATATATTTATAAGTATTTTTCCTTATTGCTTCTGGATCAAGTCAGTTAGGATAGTTATCTCTATTCTTAAGTTCTAAAAGAATTCAAACTCCTTTAAAAAAATCCCTAGTACTTGTATGTTTTCATTTCTTTTCTTCTTCTTTTTTTTTTTTTTTTAGACACAGGGTCCAGCTATGTCACCCACGCTGATTCTCCTGCCTTACCATCCTGAATAGCCAGGACTATAGGCACATGCCATTGTGGTGGCCGAGGAGGGTAGATCGCTCAAGGTCAGGAGTTCAAAAACAGCCTGAGCAAGATCGAGATCCCGTCTCTACTAAAAATAGAAAGAAATTAATTGGCCAACTAAAAATATATAGAAAAAATTAGCCAGACATGGTGACACATGACTATGGTCCCAGCTACTTGGGAGGCTGAGGCAGGAGGATGGCTTGAACCCAGGAGTTTGAGGTTGCTGTGAGCTAGACTGACGCCACAGCACTCTAGCCAGGGCAGCAGAGTGAGACTCTGTCTCAAAAAAAAAAAGGGAAAGAATGGGAAAAAAGGGAAAGAAAGAGGAAAGAAGTAGGGAGGGAGAAGGCAAAAGAGAAAAAGAGAAGGAGAGAGAAGAAAGGAGAAGAGATGAGAGGAGAAGTGAAAGATGGATATGCTGTGGTTACGTCCCCAAGTCTGCCTTACTAAAAATGGTAAAATATATTTCTTAAATTTATAGGTCTTGGCTGCATGAGAAACACTGAGACCAATGGGGGCCGGGGGAAATGAGAAAAGGAATGATTTAATAATATTATAAGATAGGTCAGAGTATAACCCATTACTGTGCCACTACATTGCCATGCCCAAAAATCAAAGTTTTTTTTTTCAGTTCTATTATAAGGTTATTCAACTTTCAAGTTCTTCTGCTAGAAAATGAATATTTAATTCATATTTTGAAAAGGGAAGAAAGAGATTAATAGTATTTAATAACTACTGTCCAATTAGGGCTCATTAAACTGCTCTGAAAAAATAAATGTGTGTGTGTGCACACGCGTTAAGGAGGGAAATACAAACTCAGAAACAATGATCTCCAAAGATACATTTTTTTGGTATTATACTGGTAAGGGAAATACACAGGTTCCCCATCACATAACAGAAACACTGTGCTAGCCTTAAGTACTCAGCATAATTGTTACAAAGTAGGCAAACAGGTATCGAAATAACTGTGAGGCCTAGGAAGAGTGTCCAGCACTTTCCTGGGTGCCTCAGTACTTTCTTGCCCTGAGACAGCCAGCTCAAACTGGCCCCTTACTGCTTTAGAGCTGCTATGGTTGTCCCGTAGCGTCCTTTAGCTAACTGTAATTAATACTAAAATCCCCACCTAGAGGGAAACTGTAATATCATTAACATAACATGGGTTATATGACAGCATATGATGGTGGTACTATGCCTGTGAGATATGTTTCACTGTGAACAAGCAAAGATACAATGTAAAAACTCTGCATTATTCATTGGGAAGAGATTTAAGGCCAGGACACAGGGTGGGCTGATGTGGATTTTGTAGGCAAGAAAGCTCCTGTGCCACCCAGGAGTAAGTCCCCTAGTAAGCAACCTCTAATAAACACATCTCAGTCATCAAGCTGGTCTTGTATGAGTCATTCTTTGGTTTCTCAGTCCCCTTTCAGTTTGGGGATTGGTTTTTTCTATTTTGTCTCAGGATTTTCATTTAAAAAGTGGCTATTCAAAGGTACAATCATAGTGCTTTACACCCTTGAATTTCTTGGCTCAAGTGATCCAAGATACATTTTAATATTTTGATTTGTGAGCCACATGAATGTATTTCCCATTCAACAGCATACGTTTTGCTGGCATTCTTGTCTGCTATTGTTTCTTCTCCCCGTTTTCTTATACTTACACCTTTTTTCTTTTTCAAATTCCTTTGCTAGCATTGTTAGTGAGGCTTCAGGAGGGAATTAAGATAAGCATGTGTTCAACCTATTATGTTCAACTAAAAATCTCTTTATATTCTAAAAAATTTATAGCTTTACAATTACTAATTTAGGTATTAGATATGTAACTTCAATGAAGATTTCCCTTGTAGTAAAACTCCACAAAGAGTAAATCCAATTGTATTTAAAATATGGTACCTTCATTCCTTTTATTAATAGTAAACCAATTATGACATTCTCAAACATTATCTATAAACTTTTCCTCAACCTACGTAAATAAACATTTTGCTGAATAAAAGTGATTAAAACCAGTTTGAATTCATTAGCAAGTTCATTAAAATAAGGTAAAAGGTAAAAAACCTCTATTTCCAGGCATCTGAAACATAATTTCAAGAGATTCTTAGAGAACAAAAGGAATGGAGAGTGGTAATCCCTTAGTTTACCTTGTTCATTTCTACTACCGTCTCACAAATCAAATTCTAAGTACAAACCAGCTTCGGAATGGCACTTATACAGAGGAAGTTAATTTTACTTTCTTTCTAGGCATGGACAACTAACTTAGGAATCTGGTAGAAAGCAGGGAAAGGGTAAGAAATCCTCTGGATTTTCCCATCCATTACTAAGCAGAATTCCCTTTTGTATGAATATTTTCCATCAATTACTAAGTTATATGGAAACTTTCCCATTAAATTAACCTGTTTCTGAAAGAATGAGGGCAATCCTTACTGTAGTGGACACTTCTTTTTTTGAGCTACCTTGGATTCATTCATTTTATTTACAATAGTATCCTCTTGGTTTTTATCTGTGGCTCCACCTCTCTCTACAGTTAAGATGAAGTCAACTTCCGCCTGATTCTCGGGTGGAAATACAAGTTTCCACCAATCAGACTCTGCATGGCCACATGTATGGGTCTTGTAGTTGCATGCAACATCATTAGTTACTGAAATGCATAGAATAGCTAAGACTTCCTGGGAAAAAAAACTTACTCTTTTTTTCTTTTTTGGAGTCAGGGTCTTATTCTGTTGCCCAGGCTACAGTGCAATGGCATCATCATAACTCATTGCAACCTCAAATTCCTGGGTTCAAGTGATCCTCCTGCCTCAGACTATCTAGAATAGCTGGGACTACAGGCATTCATCACCATGCTTGGCTAATTATTCTATTCTTTTTAGAGACAAGGTCTTGCTATGTTGCTCAGGCTGGCTATTCTTTTTTCTTGAATTTGAACACAAGATGATATAAACTACATTTGGAACCACAGAAGATGTCCGAGAATAGCTCCAAAGTGAAGGAAGTAGGGTAGACAGAAACTGGATTTTGATGATTTGTTTGACAATATCATTCCTAGACTCCTCAGTTTTAAGAGTTACTAAATTCTCCTTTGGGCTTAAGCTTTTTTGGGATAGGATTTCTCTCACTCATACCAAAGAAATCAAACTAATAACCTTCTCATTTATCTATGGCTACAGAGAGAATATGCCACTAAACCTAGTTCTCAGGTTTCTAGATCTCCAAGCAAAATATTTGCACACTGACATATGAACATAAACATCATGGGAAGTAATGGACAACTCATCAGAAAATAAAATCAGGGATCAGAGGGAAGAGATTTCCATAATACACACTATGGAGATTGAAAAGGATATGGGTGGCCTGGCATTATTTGACAAGATTTTTACTTTTAGGTTGAATTGTACTTTTGCTTTAATCCATCAGCTGGCATTAAGAGATGTTATGATAAAAAGTACTGATAAAACAAAACTCAACACTGTATTATTACAGAGATGTTTTTGCTCAAGGACATAGTTTCTGGTATCACACATTATTTGCTTTATAAGGACTCAAGAAACACATTTACTTGAAGCCTCACAATCAGATAAGCTGTGCTTCTCAACAGCAAGTGATTTATTCTCATTGTAAATGTGTAACTGATCAGTTTTCTTTAGTTGTTGGTTCAGACCCAAATTTGTGGTGGAACCCCCGATCCCAACATTCTCTTTTAACACAGTCCTTAACATTTTTTAAACATACAAAAACATACAGATTCCTCATTAGTATCTTAAAGAGTTTTTAGAATAAAGCTGAGTATAAACAAATTTATGAGGGCCAGGCAGGGTGACTCATGCCTGTAATCCTAGCACTCTGGGAGGCCAAGATGGGTGGATCATTCAAGGTCAGCAGTTCGAAACCAGCCTGAGCAAGAGTTAGACCCCATCTCTACTAAAAATAGAAAGAAATTAATTGACCAACTAAAAATATATAGAAAAAATAAGCTGGGCGTGGTGACACATGCCTGTTGTCCCAGCTACTCGGGAGGCTGAGGCAGAAGGATCACTTGAGCCCAGGAGTTTGAGGTTGCTGTGAGCTAGGCTGATGCCATGGCACTCTAGCCTGGGCTTATTAATACTAAAAAAAAAAAAAAAAAAAAAAATGTATGAGGTAAATAGCCTGCCTGGTGTATTGGTAAAGCATCCACTGTTTTCTGTGTAAAATTTACAGTTCAGTTTCCTCTGGTAGCAAAGGTTAAGAGGCTAACTGGCAAACAATTCTCAGCCTTTTCAGAGTTGTGCAACTTTGTAGTATTCTCAGTTTCTGAAGTTCAGAGACTAAGATATAAACTTAAAGCCTAGACCTTTTTCTTGCTTTTAACCTTAGATTAACATAAATTATATTAGGTTAAAAAAGGCTTTCTTATCCCTCCTCTTCTCCATACTGGGGTGGTGGTGGTGGTGGCTGTGGTGGGAATCAAAGTAGAGTCATTCTCAAAATTTGGTCTGGACACTTGATCTATAACTTTAGAGATATTAGAATAGTTGGCACTCAAGAAATAAGCAGTGATGTGAGTAAACTGTTTATACCTTGGACAAAAGTTTGCATTACAGACTAGATATAGAATGTATTCAAAGAACTTACATGGCTGTATTTTTGATAATTCTTCCTTGGTCCATTTTCTGCCCAATGCCATGCACAACAAATACAATATGGGTAGTCTGTGATGGCTTGTCTTCTAATGTAGCTTCTTCTACATAACCTCTATGAAGTCTCGTTCCACTACTTGATGCTGTAGAAAGATTATCATCCTAAGCTTACTATTTACTCTGAGAAATAGTATTTTCACAATATGTTTAAAGAAAAAAAAAAGAAGTAAAATGAATATATTAAGAAAAAATTTCACTGGGTAGGAGGAGGAAGTAAAATTTATAAGATGATGTGTATTGATCAGCTCTGATATAAAGTAAACTGGATATGACACCAAAGCAAGAAACTATGGGAAAAAGAAAAAGAAGGAAGGATAAACTCCTTTAAAGAATTGTCTATTTTCACTGCCTCCATTTCCTTACCTTCTATTTCAGCTTCAGCCCACACCAATCTGGCTTCTGCTCCATTAATCTATCTAAGTCACCAATGACCTCATGTCACTAGATCCAATGAAAAATTTTCAGTCCTCATCTACCTTGACACTATATTTCAACTGTTGTGTGTTATTTTCACCGCCTCTGGTTTGACTGCTTTTGTGCTTTTCTAAGTATAAAATATATGTATCAATCTTATCAGATCACAATCCAACCACCTTAAAAGTTTCATTTTAACAAGGAACCCATCACTAAATTTAATACATATTTAAAATATACTAAAAATAGAATTTGAATTGTCTATTTTGGATATAAGAGAAAAAGTCAGATTCCCAAAATTTTAACAAGCTACAGTAAAACTGAACAATTACCTTTTGAAAATCCCAGTTTTTGGGTAACTGTTCTTGCAATTTTAGATGTTGTTGCATCACTATAAAGATATACTTCATCCACACTGTGCCAGTCCACATGGTTTCGACTCAACTTGAAACTATGAATAGCTGTTGCAAAAAGGAAAAACTATTTTGAAGGTCTCCAAGGCAAACTTCATTTGTGTGGAAAAATTGTAATACTCATATTTTGGAATCAATATTATCTAATAACAGATATATAACCCAGTTCAATAAAAAATATTATATTAAAAAATTTTATGTGAAGCAAGTAATAGGTAAAGACTTTATTTTATAAACGATTAACCAGGCTACAGGGAATGGCAACATGGAGTAACTATTTTAACTGCCATAATTTTAACCTCTAATATGTAGTTAATATGTGTTTTCACGATTGAAGAATTGCTTTCCCAGGTGACGTGACTAACTGTTCCTTCTACTCAAAGAGAGACCTCAACAGCTTTGACATAGAAACTTAAGTTCCATGTCTTCTGTTGATTTTATTAATACTAAAAAAAAAAAATCAAAAGATTTGTAAAAATTTCATTCAGTGCAAGACAAAATTAGACTCAGAGGGAAAAATTTACTTTTAAACTGGCAAGAGAATAATGTATTAAAATATAAGGTATTTTTGTAATGGATAGTAAAGCCAATTATCACTAGATATTACTCATCATAGCAAAAATCCAAAGTTGAAGGATATTTTATTATAATAATAAAAAATTAAGGAAACGTGTTTTTATTATGTTCAAATCAATATGGTCATTGCATTTCTGTATCTAGGGGTAAGCTTGGTGAAAATGAGGTCTTAAAAAAAAATCCAAACCTGTATCTTTAGGAATTCAAAAGCTCTATGAGCCAAGGACTGCTGTCTTGATCATTTTTAAAACCTAGCACCAAATATAGTGTCCTGGCGCAGTGCCTGGCACATATCACAAATTCAGTGATGTTTGTGGAAGCAATGAAATGAAAAAATTTACATAACATATTCACCATTTCATAATTTGATAATTCTTATATTCTGAAGGCCTTAAATTTTCCTCTATATCTCTAGTATATAAATAGAAAAAAATTCACATACCCATTCTCAGAAAACTGGGCACCTTCAAATCACTATGCCTGATTTTTTCCTTAAAACCCTTTTAAGGCAAAATATTATCCCCCATTGTATGCATAAAGACACAGAGGTACAAAGAGATTAAGTGACTTTGCCACAAAGCCTGTTTTTGGCAGAGTCTAACTCTTTTGAGGATGGGCTGAAAATAACTTCAAGCTAAATATAAAAAGATATATGCTCTGGTCAAGATCTGAGATCATAAGACATTTTTATGAAAACATATTCCCTACTAGAATACAAAGTACATTATGAGAAAATGTACTTCCTTAGTGATGCTACAAATGTAATTTCAAAAATGTATGAAAAACCAATTTAAATTTTACTTACCTGCCAGGATATATTACTAACATTATACACAAGACCAAGATTCAATTAATATAATAAACATGAACAATACCTTCAGTTCCAAAGAAAATAATGTACAAGGTTAGCTTTTTAAATAAAAGAACTATTCATACATTTAAAAAAACCTTTGCAAAGGATTAACAATTATTTATTTTTCTATTAATAATTCCATATCTGATCCAAGTCTCTACTTCAAGCTTTTTAATCTAACATTTCTAAATCACATTTTTGTTAAAATAGTTTTGAGCAATATTTGCTTAAAACATTGAAACTATAAGATTGAAATATTTAGAGAATAGCATTAAGCCAGCAAAATTTTGTTTCTCCTTAAATCATCCACATGTTGTCTTAAAGTAAAATACTGGGGAACATCCCAGTAGTACTGGAGTAAACACATACTTTACAAACGTTTATACATACTTATAATAAAGGAACACTAAGCAAAACAGCACAATGGACACAGTTTTTATAAAACTAATGATTTCTATGCTTTAAACACAACTGAATGCTATAAGCCAGAAATATAACTACACGGAGAAATAAAACTACAATTACTGTACCTTGGGAACGCTTTCGTTTAAGACCTGCCGCATCTGTACTCTCCTTATTTCCTCTCCATTTGAACAGAGAAGGGAGGGAGAAGGGAGGGAGGTGGTAGACAACTAAGAAAGCAAAAACACTGAGCTTCAAAGTAAATTTTAAATGAGGTTTGCCATTTTGCCTTTCCATTGTAGTATTAACTTTAAAAAATGAATTGTATTTGACAAACATTATTCTAAATGCTTTATTTATATTATTTCTAATTAAAAGTCAGTAAAGCAAAACATTAGTTTAATGTTTATCAAATACATGTTCTACTTTTACTGAATGAAAAAAGGCAAATGATATCTAAATTTATTAAAGACAACTATGTGATTATCACATTTAACGCCTTTGCATAGATAGGATAAAAAAAAAAGAACATAGCATATTTGAATGCTTAAGAGATTTATAAATTCCAGCTTTACAATACTAAGGTTATTTACTCTCACCAAATTTGTGACTCTGACATAGCCAACAGCTGATAAATACAAATTGAGAAAGCAATAAATAACATTTTAAATATCTAAGGCAGCTTTCCTGGAGAAGATACCAGGGTATACATTCCACTAGATACTTTTCATTACTGAACCATAATGGAGCCTTCCCTCTGAAACAAAATAATCTTTTCACAACTCTGTTCAAGTTGTTAAAAGACTTTAAAGAATAAAACTTTTAAGAACAAAAAATTATAAAATTTTAAAAAGAATAAAACTCATACTGAAAAAAATCAAATTCAAAGTTCTACTTTTAATTGTCCTTTGGGAAAGATTTATTAGTGATGAAATAACAAAAAAATCATTAGTAAGAATGTATGCTATGATATCTTGTAAGCATGAAACAGACTACAGAGCAAAGCCAGGCACAAACTTGATATTTGGCAAATCAGTAGATAACCTTAAAGTCAACATTTTCCCTGTCAAATCTTGCTAGTTATATATCAATAAATTTCTTTTCATTTTAAGTAAGCAATTATTTAAAAGTCCACTTGAAGCTTACAAATCAGTTTCTTATCAGTTCCATTAATAAATTATAGAACCTTTATGATTTAGTTCAAATTTATGTTCTAAAACATTTGATTTTCATCCTCACTCCCTTCTATATTATAATGTGACATTCAAAGGTTAAATACTGCACAAATATAAAAATATTTAATTCCTGTTGTATAGTACTAAAATATAACAAATCAGTTGTATATACAGATGAAGTATATGCAAAGATTTGTACAATAAAAATAGCTGATAAGTGCTTAAGACACTTAATACCTACACCTATATGTAACTAGATGACTATAAAAACTATAGACTAGGACTAAAAGCTGGGTTGTTACATCCAGATTATAAAAACATTTCATTGTCACAGAGAGATGGAAAATGACAATTGAAGCAATTTTCTTCACTGAAAATGTTTCTTCTTTCAAGTGCCTCTGGTCAGTTACTAAGGAATAGATATACCACTTAAACAAGGGAACAGTTTTAAACAAAAAATTCATTAGGAAAAAACTGCTAACATATTAAAGTGGATCAAACTGACACAAACTAGAGACTTTACTATCAAAGAATGAAAACTAGATTTTGTAAATTTAGTTTGTAAATTTCGTAAATATGGTAGTAAAATTAACATGAACCAATTCCATATTTGCTAAATGGGAAATGTATGGACCATATGACCACATTTAAAATTATACAAACACTTTCAGAAGCTAGTCGAGATATACAAATGAAGGCTTTTTTTCCTGAAAAAATGGTATAATTTAAGGATTAAAAAAATAAACACCCCAATATACAGATAAACAAAAAACATTTTCTCACCCCCAAAAAAGAGAAACATATTCACAAAAATTAAAGAGATATAAATGGTTCTTTACTTTCTTCTCAAACTTAATTTTCACTTGAGAGTCATTTTATTTGTTACACATCCTATAGCACAGCTATCTTTATTTTTTTCAACCCAAAGCATGGAATTAGGGTTACTACTATAAGTACACTAGAGGAAAAAAGAATTTACTATCAATTCAAACAGAGATCACTGTTAAAGGAAATTCATGTGCCAGAAAGCACTATTTAACTTTTTCTGTTTTTAAAGTTTTAGTTAGAAATTCTTATGTAGTATTAGCAAAAGTATACATAAACTCAACATACAACTGTGAATGCTAATTTATTAAATGTTAACATTAATAAAAATGTTCTTTATATATTAAAGTCTTATACAGCAATGAAAAAGATTTAAAACACTAACAATATTTTTCAATAAATTTCCTTACTACTTCACCTCTTAAGGAAATTTTCTTCATTATATAATTATGAAAGCAAGAAAATATCACAAAAGAGGGTTGCTGATGATAATGATATACTATTCCCAAGAACAGAAAAACTTAATAACCTTTCCTTTTATAAAAGCTGCCAACTTGAAAAATTCCAACCACAGGGAAGCAGCCTTGTATGTCTCAAGCCTGCCAACTATAATGAGAAAATTCCAGGCAACCTTTCTTGGACCTCAGAGAAATAAAGTTGGATAAATTTATAAAAATTAAGTAGTAACTAAAAGCTAGAAGGTGGGAATCTTCCTAGTTACCAAGAGAGAAGAAAAGGAGAGCTGGTTAGAAAGGTTAGCAAAACCCCTCCCCCTGTAACTGCTCCATCTTTTTAATTGACTTTTGAAATACTATATTCACATTACGGGATTTTTCTTATTCAGCAACAGTGATAGGATTACATACTTTACCCACCAAATTGTTCAGTGTCATAAATCCTTATGGTGCCACCAACACCTGTGTTGCCACCCCAAATTAGCTTGAACAGTAAAAATTCCATGCTTTTACTTACAATCTATCTATGACTTTATACTGATAGTGTGACTCTTACAGACAGTACATAGTTAGGTCTTGCATTCTTATCAAATCTGTCAATTTCTGCCTTTTAATCAGAGTATTAGTTGACTTATACTTACAAATATATTTGTAGTTATTGATATAGGTGAATTTAAGTCTACCATTTTTCTATTTGTTTTTCTCTTTGTCTCATCTATTTTTTGTTTCTCCATTTCTTCTTTCCGGGTTTCTTTTAGTTAGGTTAATTGAGTATTTTTTAGTATTTCATTTTAATCCCTCTATTGGCCTTTTTTTAAAAAAAATCTTTTTATTTTAGAATAATTTTAGACTTAACAGAAATAGCAAAAATAGTACACAGAGTATACTGTTGGTACAAGTGTCAAACAGCAGCAAGGGTAGTGTTGATATTAGGAATGCAAGGCTGCCCAGGCCCTCAAAGTCCCTGTATTTTGTTCAGAATTCCAAAGAAGGGGGCCCTGTGGGCAGCAACGAGATAGATGGGGCTGGGAAAGGAGAAGATGGATTGGCCTGAGCTTCCCCTATTGTTAGCATCTTGTGTAACTACAATTATCAAAACTAACAAATTAATGTTGATATAATACTATCAACTAATATATAGACTTTATTCAGATTTCTCTAGTTTTTCCACTAATATCTTTTTCTGTTCTGGAGTCCAATTCAGGATACCATATTGCGTTTTATTGTCATGTCTTCTTAGTTCCCACTAATTTTTGGCAAATTCCTCGATCTTTCCTTATCTTTCATGACCTTGACGTTTTGAACATTGGTAATTATTTTATAGAAGGCCCTCAATGTGAGTTTGAGTTTGTTTTTTCACAATTGAATTGAGGTTACACAATTTTTGACCACAGTGATGCGCAGCACTAACCCATTCAGTTCAACCTTTTTTACTGATTATTGCATGTGCCTGGATAAATTGTAAAATGAGTGAAATAGCAATCTAGTACTAGATTTAAGTATTTATCAAATTACTTATTTGAAGGCCTGATTTTATTTGTATCATTCATCCCAAGTTAAACAATAGGCTTCCATTTGTTAAACTGCTAGATAAACATTTCCTGGCCTAGTGGGTGAGGTGAATAGAGAATCAATTTTAACTCTAGAGATAACTAAATTCAGATTAAAGCATATAAATCACAAGAAATAATTATCTTTTGGGGAGTTATCTTTATTTGAATGCTAAAAAAGGGTTGTACAGTATACTAAACTTCCATCAGTCTCTTTAACTCAATGCTCATTTTGAGATTACTAGGAAAATTAATAAGGAGAAAAATACTGAATACAGTCGGCACTCCCTATCTGTGGATTCAACCAACCATGAATCAAAAATACTTAGGAAAGAAACAAAAAACAACAATAAAAAATAATACAAATAAAAAATACAGCATATAAGTATTTACATAGTATTTGTATCATATTAGGTATTATAAGTAATCTAGAGATGATTTAAAGTATATGGGAGGATGTGCACAAGTTATATGCAAATATTACACCATATATATAAGGAACTTGAGCATCCTCAGATTTTGGGATCCATGGGGCATTCTGGAACCAATTCCACATGGATACCAAGGGATAACTATACACCCAATCTATATGTGTCAACAGCTATCTTAACAAAACAAGGTCAGAAGAAAAAAGGAATTATTCATTTTAATGTCCCTGAAGGCAAAAACTCTTTAATTTCTTTGAAATCCCCTAGAGAACTTAATAAGTCTCTGAATATAGTATTTTAAAAAAATGTTTTTAATCACTAAATGGGACTTTTCTGGAAAGCCATATTTGAATAGCTCCACTGTACTGTGATCACCTACTCTCTTCAAATATCCAAAAGATATTCCAAATATCTTTTAAGAATATGTAATATTCACTGTCTACTATATTATCCCATACTTATTCTTTTTGTACTATACTAATTTTAACTGTTCTCATCTGTTGGCTTTGTCTGCTCTCATAGGTTGAAAACTCTTTGAGGGTAGAAACTTTGTCTATTTCTTTCATAAAAGTGACTAGCACAATACTACATCCACACATGGAAGCATTCGAAATCTCCTGACAACATAGAGTCAAGGCTTTATCATCTATACATGAGAAAATTTAGGTGAAAAATGTATTTTTCCTCCTTCGAACTAAAGAAATATAAAATTTCACAAACTTAGAGGTAAGAGCAAAATAATCAAAATATTATGTTTAAATCTTTGTAGATATGACAAGTTTGAGGTTATTTTCCCAACAATGGTAGCTTTTTGGACATAAATGTTCTTTCCTTAAAATTAGCTATAATTTTTAAATGTACTACAAAATTTCCCATAATCTTCAAAATCAAATGTCACATCTTAACATATAAATATATTTTGATATAATACTAAATAACAAAATGATTGAAAATTGTAACAGTATATATACTCAATTGAGCTTATCTTTGTCAATAACAAAACATGCTGAATATTTACCTATGCCACACTACATTATAAAAAATAGTTTTTTTCTTCTAATGAACCTCAAAGAATCATTTTTGACAGATTACAGTGCAAAGGTATTTTAACAGTTGAACAATTTTCCATTTACAAATTAAAATTTTACCAGTGTATATCCTTAAAGATAACAAAATATATCACCATAATATCCTAGTTTCATACTCTAGAACTGACACACACACACACTCAAAGACATTCTAAAAAAAATCTACCACACAAACCATGTTCTTGTATCAGTCTTAGTTCAATCTGGAGACTGGGGTTGGGACAAGGAAGCGGAACAAATGCTTTGTCGAGGGGGTTTCCACTGAGAAATAGATGACATTAAGAGATGCTCTGCCTGCAATAAGGGGAACAAATTGACCAGAAGGGGGGCTTCCAAGAAAGAACAGATGACATGTCAAGGGGGCTTCTAGGGACTGAACAGATGTTTGGTCTATGATAGGTGGTCTCCAAGGAATGACCAACCAAAAAGAGGTAGAAAGGCCACAGACTGGAGATACGACCAAGGCCACAAAAGAGGCTCTTTGGGACATGTGTACAAAGAGGGTGACAGTATCCTCAAGTGACCTACCCTCATTAACACAGTAAAAATCACATCCACCCATGCCAGGACAGTTTACAAATACCATGGTAACCCCCAGAAATTGCCTTACAAGGTTAAAAATGGGAAGGGTTCCCAGTTCCAGGAATTCTCCATCCGTTTCCAAGAAAAGTCATGAATATTCCACCCCCCACTTAACATTAAATTAGGGAATCAGCATAAAAGGGGAAATCTTGTTAAACTCAGGGTCTCTTCCACTCACAGGAGTTGACCCATTCCTTTTCCTGAATGTACTATGCTTTAATAAACTTTGGCACTTCACTTGCTTCCATCTGCTTGGTCTGCTCATTTGCTCCGTTGACTTGGTACCAATAACCGTTCTTCAGTATTGGGAACCAAGAAACAGGGAACATGGACCTGACATCTGGTCCCTCCACGTGACCAGCACTTTGAGGAAAACTGAAATATCCTGATTCTATGGCAATCTGTAGAAATGTAGATACAGCTCTCATACTGAACTGCTCTTCATACATTGCTATATAAGAACCTTTAGCTTGAACTTTTCAGTGAAATAAGGACATACTTGACTCTACATGAGATAATATTTTTAAAACTCATAGAGTATGGTATTTGGCATGTAACAGACAACTATTATTATATAAATTTCTTAGGGCCAGGTGTGGTGGCTCACGCCTGTAATCCTAGCACTCTGGGAGGCTGAGGCGGGTGGATTGCTTGAGGTCAGGAGTTCGAAATCAGCCTGAGCAAGAGCGAGACCCCATCTCTACTATAAATAGAAAGAAATTAATTGGCCAACTAATATAGCGCATGCCTGTAGTCCCAGCTACTAGGGAGGCTGAGGCAGAAGGATTGCTTGAGTCCAGGAGTTTGAGGTTGCTGTGAGCTAGGCTGATGCCATGGCACTCATTCTAGCACAGGCAACAAAGCAAGACTGTGTCTCAAAAAAAAAAATTTTTTCTTCTTAGATTTAACTGTCAATTTATTCAGACGTCCCAAGTCTCCTCAGTTATGTAGACTTTTAACCAACTAGACACAAAAGATATTTTAATTTGATATAAGCTAACCTAGTTTCCTTGCTTGTGATAAATGGGTATATAATACGTATGTTCAGAGAAAGATGAGAGAGCAAAAAGAAGAGAGAAAAAAATGTGGGATGCTATTGAGAAAACAAAAGTTGCAATTTAAAGCTTACTGTTTTGCCATCAATTGTTATAATAATTACTTCCAAACACATAATTCATTTTTTTTCAAGCTGCATTCTGTGAATTACCTGCTCAATACTTAGTTTTTCTGCTTTAAAGCTGTTTTATGAGGGGAAGGGGGAAAAAAAAAAATCACTTAATTCTTATTTTAATTCCCTGGATTCAGAAGGGCTTGCCAAGAAACCTCCCAAATAAAGGCAGGCACAGATGAAGAAACACTTTTATTAATAGAAAAAAATTGTAGAGAAATCTACAAATTCTAATCTCCCTGTACAGTTATACTCACCAGAATAGTTGATCCCACTGCCTGCAGTAAATGGAACAATAGAAGTATTTTTAACTTCACCACATTATTTTGAAGTTTACTCAAGATTCAGAAACATGATGAAAACATTGCAGTCTTTGCTATTATATAATATTTTCAACTATTGCAAACATATCCAAAAGCTGAATAAGGAATTCTAAGGAGATTACTTCATACTAAAAATTGATATGCTTATCAATAGGGAGACAGCTAAGAGATATACATAGGTAATTAAGGTGTTTTTTTTTACTTCAGGAAAAGAACCAACATTAAAATATTACAAAATTGTCCTTTTGATATAATGACAAGGAACTTTTTGGTAAGTTCAACTTTCTTTGATAACTAAAAACTACCAAAAAGGACTAACTCAGGGAACACATTACAACAATGTGTACATTTATAGTAAATTGTGTTAGTGTCATGCCACTGAACATATATATTAAGTAAAATAAAAATTGAGATAGTTCAGAACAGTTTTTAATTCTAGAATGTTTTTTAGAAAGCAAATTTTATAAATTCTAGCCCTCCTGAATTACTATGTCAAACTTATGAACTACTCTAAATTTTATCAATTACTTATTTGGTTTATAGAATATGTTAAATATATTGATTGGTCTTACCATCTTTTCCATCTATGGATTTTGACACTTCAATATCAAAATTTTCCTGCATCTGCTGACCCCTAAAACAACTGAGATGTTCTTGCTCAATTAAATTACTTTCTTCTTCTTCTAGAGGCTGCCAAGTACCATCAATAAACCACTGTCCGCGCATTACTGGTATTTTATCAGCCTCTGAAAAGAGAAATCACAGAGTCACACATTTTAGGATTCAATCTCCTAAAAAGAGACATAGTACCTACAATCTTGTATTAGGTTAATAAGTATGAAATGTCCAATTTCCTTAAGTACTAAATTTGACATTTCACTTTGACACTTCTTGTTTTATTTTTATTGTGAAGGTACAATCCTCAGTCTTTCAAACACACATTTTGGCTTGTGATTATCTTTTAAAGATTTTTAGCGCAATTTTTGTGAAACCATGGATAAGTCAAAAATTCGTGTTATTTTCAAATATGAGTTCATGGAACCAGTACAGCACAGACAGTTCAAACTATCAATGAAGTATTTGGGAAGGATGTGGCTAATGAACGCAGGGTACATTGATGGTTTGAGAAATTCCATTCTAGTGATTTTTATTTTGAAAACAGAGCCCCGTGGGCAACCTGAAACCAAGGTGGATAACGATGAGCTGAAAGCGTAGTGGAAGTAAAATCCACTTTGACCTATGTGTGAATTAGCAGTAGGTTCTGACGTTACTATTCCAACAATACTGGACTTTTGAAACAAATTGGTGAGGTAAAGAAGCTGGATAGATGATTTCACATGAATTAAATGAATGTCAGAAAAATCGTATCAAAGCTTGCTTTCTTTCTGTCGTGACATAAAGGCAGACCATTTCATACACCATATTGGTATGTGATGAAAAATGATTATTTTTGACAATCACAAGCATTCGGCACAATGGTTGATAAAGGTGAAGTGCAATCATCTTCATAAATACAGTCAAAACTGAATATTTATCCAAAAAAGCTAATGGTGTTTCTTTGGTGGTCTAGTGCTGGTATTATCCACTATAGCTTCATGAAACCTGTTCTGTCAATTACAGTGGATGTCTATGCAATCACTGAATTAATGAGGATGCTTACAATTAAGCAGCTGAGAATGGTCAATAGAGAGAAACCATCCTCTTGTAAGACAACACTTGACCACATGGTGCACAATCAACATTGCCAAATTACAGACCGGACTTGGAAACTCTCTGTCCTTCACCACATTCACCAGAAGAAGTGACTACCACTTCTTCAGGCTTTGACCACTTCTTTCAAGGAAAAATATTCGATTCTCACAAGTTGTGGAAAATCTTTCCGATTTTTTTCATCACCATGGCTTCCAGGCTTCTTCGCTGCCAGTATAAACAAGCTACCATTATGACGTAAAACTGTGTGGATAGCTTAGGCACATACTTTGATTAATGTACTGCTTCTTCAAGATATAATAAACTATACTTTTGATTTGAAATTGGGCATTTCATATTTAATGACCTAATACAATCATTTAAAGTTTTAAAATCCAAATTTCAAGCCAGAGTGTATCACTTCCTACAGCATATAATTTAATTATATTTTTTTTTTTTTTTTTTTTTTGAGACAGAGTCTCGCTTTGTTGCCCAGGCTAGATGAGTGCCGTGGCGTCAGCCTAGCACCAGCAACTTCAACTCTGGGCTGAGATCTTTCTGCCTCAGCTCCTGGTAGCTGGGACTACAGCATGTGCCACCATGCCCGGCTAATTTATATATTATATCAGTTGCAATTGATTTCTTTCTATTTATAGAGAGACGGGTCTCGCTTTGCTCAGGCTGGTTAATCCTACCTTGAGCAATCGCCCGCCTCGCCTCCAAGAGCTAGGATTACAGGCGTGAGCCACAGCGCCCGCTAATTTAATTATATTAAATATTATACCTAAGTTTACTTTAGCATTAGAGAGATAGCTGTCTATAAAACTGAGATCCTGAGTAACCAAAATTAGTAGGGTAAGGGGTTAAGACAAGTTTCATGCAAGGTTCCAGTGATTTCCAATGTCTTAGAAAATATCGATATAATATCCCAAAAATAGTGTTTAAAAACACTGAATGTGGTAGTAGTAATGCTGTAATCTCTCCCCAGTTTTTAATTCTAGAATGTTTTTTAGAAAGCAAATTTTATAAATTCTAGCCCTCCTGAATTACTATGTCAAACTTATGAACTACTCTAAATTTTATCAATTACTTATTTGGTTTATAGAATATATTAAATATATTGATTGGTCTTACCATCTTTTCCATCTATGGATTTTGACACTTCAATATCAAAATTTTCCTGCATCTGCTGACCCCTAAAACAACTGAGATGTTCTTGCTCAATTAAATTACTTTCTTCTTCTTCTAGAGGCTGCCAAGTACCATCAATAAACCACTGTCCGCGCATTACTGGTATTTTATCAGCCTCTGAAAAGAGAAATCACAGAGTCACACATTTTAGGATTCAATCTCCTAAAAAGAGACATAGTACCTACAATCTTGTATTAGGTTAATAAGTATGAAATGTCCAATTTCCTTAAGTACTAAATTTGACATTTCACTTTGACACTTCTTGTTTTATTTTTATTGTGAAGGTACAATGCTCAGTCTTTCAAACACACATTTTGGCTTGTGATTATCTTTTAAAGATTTTTAGCGCAATTTTTGTGAAACCATGGATAAGTCAAAAATTCGTGTTATTTTCAAATATGAGTTCATGGAACCAGTACAGCACAGACAGTTCAAACTATCAATGAAGTATTTGGGAAGGATGTGGCTAATGAACGCAGGGTACATTGATGGTTTGAGAAATTCCATTCTAGTGATTTTTATTTTGAAAACGAGCCACGTGGGCAACCTGAAACCAAGGTGGATAACGATGAGCTGAAAGCGTAGTGGAAGCAAATCCACTTTGACCTATGTGTGAATTAGCAGTAGGTCTGACGTTACTATTCCAACAATACTGGACCTTTTGAAACAAATTGGTGAGGTAAAGAAGCTGGATAGATGAGTTTCACATGAATTAAATGATTGTCAGAAAAGAAATCGTATCAAAGCTTGCCTTTCTTTCTGTCGTGACATAAAGGCAGACCATTTCTACACCATATTGGTATGTGATGAAAAATGGATTATTTTTGACAATCACAAGCATTCGGCACAATGGTTGGATAAAGGTGAAGTGCAATCATCTTCATAAATACAGTCAAAAACTGAATATTTATCCAAAAAAGCTAATGGTGTCTCTTTGGTGGTCCAGTGCTGGTATTATCCACTATAGCTTCATGAAACCTGTTCTGTCAATTACAGTGGATGTCTACTGCAATCAACTGAATTAAATGAGGATGCTTACAATTAAGCAGCTGAGAATGGTCAATAGAGAGAAACCAATCCTCTTGTAAGACAACACTTGACAACATGGTGCACAATCAACATTGCTCAAATTACAGAAGCCAGACTTGGAAACTCTCTGTCCTTCACCACATTCACCAGAAGAAGTGACTACCACTTCTTCCAGGCTTTGGACCACTTCTTTCAAGGAAAAATATTCGATTCTCAACAAGTTGTGGAAAATGCCTTTCCCGATTTCATCACCACTGGCTTCTCCAGGCTTCTTCGCTGCCAGTATAAACAAGCTACCGTTATGACGGTAAAACTGTGTGGATAGCTTAGGCACATACTTTGATTAATGTACTGCTTCTTCAAGATATAATAAACTATACTTTTGATTTGAAATTGGGGCATCCTCTCATATTAACTGACCTAAACAATCTTTAAAGTTTTAAATCCAAATCAACGCAGAGTGTATCCACTTCTACAGCAATATATAATTGATATCTTCTTTTTTTTCTTGTTTTGAGACAGAGTCTCCGCTTCGTGCCCGGCTAGAGGCAGTGCCGTGGCGTCAGCCTAGCCACAGCAACTCAACTCTGGGCTCGAGCGATCTTCTGCCTCAAGCCTCCTGGTAGCTGGACTAACAGCCATGTGCCACATGCCCGGCTAATTTTACTATATATCACTACTCCCAGTTGCAATTGATTCTCTTCCTACTTATCAGCTGCAGACGGGTCCTCGCTCTTCTCAGGCTGGTTTCTCGAACTCCTGACCCTCGAGCAACCTCGCTCCCTCGCTGCACCAAGAGCTAGGATTACTAGGTCGGAGCCACAGCGCCCGGCCTAACTTAATTACTATTCAAATATTTCCACCCCTAAGTTTACCTTTAGCAATCTCAGTACGAGATCAGCTATCTACCTAAACACCCTGAGAATCCTCAGTAACAAAACTCAGTCAGCGTAACCGGGTTACCCCAGCACACAGTTTCAGGCAGGCTTCACGTGACTTCTCAACTGTCTTACGAAATATCGATAAATATCCCATAAAATAGGTTTAAACAACACTGAATGTGTAGTCATCATTGCTGTACTCTTCTTTGGTTTGCCTTGGAGGCTCTATCGGCTACTAGTTACCGCTCATCATAGAACAAACAAAACTGTTACTTATGTCATCACTAATCATAATTTTCACATATTTTAGAAAAAAATCAAGAAAAAATTTTCTTGAATAACTAACACTTTCTTGAATTAATATATTCCTACGAAACAGACTTTTATTGTTATTCCTATTTAGAAATACCACACAATAGTCTACATTATCTTACAATCTCTTTACACAATTTTTTACGGCGGTCACGGTGTGCACCCTGTAACTCCTAGCACTCTGGGAGCTAGACGTGGGAGATTGCTTAATGTCAGGAGTCTGAAACAGCTGAGAAAGACTGAGACCCATCTCTACTAAAAATAGAAGAAATTAATTGACCAGACTAAAAATATAGAGAAAACTTAGCCGGGCATGGTGCTGCATGCTGTAGTCGCCCCAGCTCATCTGGAGGCTGAGGCAGGAGCATTGCTTGAGCCTCGGAGTTGAGGTTGTTGTGAGCTAGGCTAATGCCATAGCACTCTAGCCTGGGCAACACAGTGAGACTCTGTCTCAAAAAAAGAAAAAAAAATTTAAGCTAACAACAAAAATACAATAAAATAACCACAACTGCTAAAAGAAAAGCAAAATGACAATAAAGGATCTTACAATCTATGTAGTGTGCTGGTTTTAACACACTAAAGAGAATTATTTCCAATGACATTTACTACACCAGTCATTTCGTCAGATACATACTTCCAGGCACAAGCACGCGCAAACACTCTTAAACCTTTTGTAATAACCACAGTGTTCCACTATATTCACTATTCCCAACTCTGACAACCTGGTGGGTTTAGATGAATGTATTAATTTTATTAATATCATCAGGAACCCAGATTTTTAGCAAAAGACAGAGGAGATACAAATATAAAAATCAAATAAATAAAATTCTTATAACTGTAAATTTTAATTAGAAATGTCACCATGAATTAATGATGTATTTCCTTTTTAAAAAACATCCTAGCTAGAAAAGGCCTAAAAACAGAGACCAACCCAAGTATAAGTGAGGACTCCTAATATAAAGATTGTGATCTTTAAATATCATTTCCCACTAAAAGACACCAAGAGTCTTTGAAAAAATGGCTAACTCCCGGTTTGGGACAGGAAATGTACTAGATGATCTTGAAACATCTTGTTATATCAGTTTTGTACTGTGATGTATTAAAAATTTCCTATTCTGTGTTTCTATTGCTTTTTGCATTCTTCTATATTCTGCTATAGCAATTCTGATATATTTAGATGAATAGCTATCTAAATAATTAAGATTCTAAGTAACCAAAATTAGTAGGCTAAAGGGTTAAGATATTTGATGCAAGGCTCTGGTTATTTCCAATGTCATAGAAAATACTGATATAAAAGCCCAGAAAGAGTATATTTCTGGTATATTTAGGTGCTGTGTTATTTGGTACATAAACACAAAAAAATATTATAACATCATTGTGAATTACAGCTTTTAACATTGTAAGTGTACTCTATAATGTTTAATGGTATTTTGCCTGGATTCTACTTTGTCTAGCAAAATTGCAACCTTCATTTTGTATTGTTTCTATTTGCCTATGGTGTCTTTGCACAACCCTTTATTTTTAACCTTTTAAACCACTGTATTTTAGATATTTCTGTTGAATTAATGCAGGTAATAACTGCCATAAAGTGTTATTTCAATAAATATGTGTTGAATGATGCTGAACAAGGCATATCTTATTCAGCATTACCCCACTAGGTTGGTAAGTTTGGTTTCCTGAAATACTTTCATTAGTGCTCCAAACAGGGTCTTCCTCAGTTTGAGTGGTGCTTGCCAATCTGTTCGGTTGGTTTATGCTACAGCAGTCTTTCAGCCACTAACAGTCTGTTTTCTGATAATTATCCCTTGATTCAGAAGAAAGAGCTTGACTATTTTCTAAAGATGAAACAACAGGGGATCTTTCTGGGGGGTGAACTTTTTCAATGAATGATAACACAGGTACAGAAAAACACACAAATCATAAGCATCCAGCCAAATGGCTTTTTACAAGCGTAACTACACCCAGACCAAGAAAGCACTGCAGAATTCTCCCTTGCCTCTCCCTTCCAGACACAACCCTTCCCTCCTCACTAAGGGTAAATACAATCCTAACCTCTTACAGATAAGTTTTACTTTTTAAAAATTTATGTAATGGAATCACAACATAGTATGTACTCTTTTATTTGGTTTCTTTAGCTCAACATTATATTGGTTAGAGCCACTTACAAACAAAGGATTATTTTAATGGTTAAAGTACTTGCCAGGTATTAGTAGGTAAACATCAGATACCTATGAACTATGTTCTTGGTCTAACTACTTCTACCAATTACTAAAATGATTCGAAATAATGTAGAGACATCAGCCAATGAATTCCTAATTATATGCTGTAATATATATTAAATCATCATGTTGCGACTGGACCTCCATCTCTAATGCTGGGAAACCTCTCTAAATGGTACTTTAGTCATATAAATGTAGAACCCTCTTTTTTGGACTGGATCATCCTCACCTCTCCAACATAGATATCTTCTTTTACCTAGCTCAAGCTTAGAACAAACACCCCAAGCCAGGCTGTGCCCATACCTGGATACTCTCCTACACCAGCCTGGGCTCTGATATCCCACACTAAGCCATCATCCCACTTGGCCTCCAATATCCCATGCTAGGCTCTCCTCATGAGAACACATGTTGTCCTCACCCAGCTTGGGCTCTGACACGCCAGGACAGGCTGTTCCTGACTGTTAGGCAGGGTAGGAAAAGAGTGAAGGCTTAGTGCTGTGGTTCTCAACTAGACAATTTTGGTCCTTAAGGAACATCTAGCACAGTTTGAATACATTTTTGATCATCACAACTGGTATCTAGTGGGTAGAGGCCAGGAATGCTGCTAAACATCCTACAATACACAAGATAGCTCCTCCCTCCCCCATTCCCCCCAACAAAGACCTCTAAAGCCCCA